ATGACTTCATGAATATGATCACTTTTGGGAGAATTTCTAGCTTCTCAAACTTGAGGAACCCCCAATTTAAGGATTTACAAATGTAAAAGTTAAACCCATAACTCATTGGTTATCTATTTTCTAAATTAATAATATGATTCTTATTCATATTTGACCCGTTTTAAAAAGTTCATTATCCAACTCATTTTTAATGGATAATATGGGTGATTAACTATTTTAATTTTTTTTAACCATTTTGCTGAGGGAGCTAGGTAGGACGGAATTAACACTGCGTGTTGATTTTCTTTAATTTTTCAGTGGAGAAGTTGGCGACGTTTAGCTGCTGGGTAATAATGGAGGTCAATATCAAGCCAATGATTAATAATAAAATAAATAAATATGTCGAAATGTTTTTGCAAAAATTATCGAATTCAAAATAAATGTCCGCTAGCACGTCGATCGGTTAATTCAATAAAATGGGAATTAGCACTCGATTTCGTTGGCACCATGCAATTGAACCAATTCAATTGTTTACTTATTCACTGAGACTGAGTGAATTTGCAAGCCCACCCAACCTATTTTTATTTTAAAATCTCAAGTGGATGAATCAGAATCTTGAGAAAGTCTTTCATTCGTCTATCATTATAGACAATCCCATCCATATTATCTATTCTATGGAATTCGAACCTGAACTTTATTTTCTATTTCTATTACGATTCATTATTTGTATCTAATTGGCTCCTCTTCTTATTTATTTTTTGATTTTCAATTTTCAGCTATATTTATGCCTAGCCTATTCTTTTCTTTGTGTTTTTCTTTCTTTTTTATACCTTTCATAGATTCATAGAGGAATTCCGTATATTTTCACATCTAGGATTTACATATACAACATATACCACTGTCAAGGGGGAAGTTCTTATTATTTAGGTTAGTTAGGTATTTCCATTTCAAAAAAAAAAGTAAAAAATAAAAATTGGGTTGCGCTATATATATGAAAGAGTATACAATAATGATGTATTTGGCAAATCAAATACCATGGTCTAATAATCAAACATTCTGATTAGTTGATAATATTAGTATTAGTTGGAAATTTTGTGAAAGATTCCTGTGAAAAGTTTCATTAACGCGGAATTCGTGTCGAGTAGACCTTGTTGTTGTGAGAATTCTTAATTCATGAGTTGTAGGGAGGGATTTATGTCACCACAAACAGAGACTAAAGCAAGTGTTGGATTCAAAGCTGGTGTTAAAGAGTACAAATTGACTTATTATACTCCTGAGTACCAAACCAAGGATACTGATATATTGGCAGCATTCCGAGTAACTCCTCAACCTGGAGTTCCACCTGAAGAAGCAGGGGCCGCGGTAGCTGCCGAATCTTCTACTGGTACATGGACAACTGTATGGACCGATGGACTTACCAGCCTTGATCGTTACAAAGGGCGATGCTACCGCATCGAGCGTGTTGTTGGAGAAAAAGATCAATATATTGCTTATGTAGCTTACCCTTTAGACCTTTTTGAAGAAGGTTCTGTTACCAACATGTTTACTTCCATTGTAGGTAACGTATTTGGGTTCAAAGCCCTGCGCGCTCTACGTCTGGAAGAT